GCTACATGAAACACATTTATGTCATGAATAGAGCTAAACAACTTAATATTTTGTGATCCAAAATTTTTCTACCTAATATATTACCATCACAAGAATCAGTTACTCTACATACACACTGAAAACAAAAAAAACAAAAAAAAAGGTAAGGCAGTCTACCTACTACATCCCAGATCGTGTAATATGACATTCTTATATTGAATTAATGATGACATTCTATTGACTAGTTATTTTACCTTCTTATGTTCTAGTAGTATATCACTCAGTGTCAGTATATCGTTCGGTGTCAGCTCTGTATTAGACAATATTAGCATCTGAAAAATAGTTCCAAAATCAAATTAGATTATATGAATGATACAAATTTAGAGTACATAACATAACTAACATGAACTTGCACAAAAATTGGGATATAAAAGTAGCAATGCTTCATGCAAATTTTCAAGATGTTTGTGTTCTTTGTTTGAGAAAATCTCTCCTTCCCGAAGATGCATATTTAGTCTACATGAACTTTGTTCTCACTACTGCTTGTGGTTCTGGTTATCTCTAATGGCTATTTATAATGGTGTTTCCTTTTTCCTTTTTTTTTATTTTTTTATTTCCTTTTTCCATTGGTGGACAATGGCTATCTTTTTCGTTTTTCTATTTTGCAATAGCAGAAGACCTTGAGGCAACACCAACAACAGAAGACTTTGAGGCACCACCAAGACCGCCACTGTTTTTCTTGGACACCAACATGAAAACTGGTGTTAACCATTGAGTTTCTCTTATGTTTTTGTTTTGGAACATAAATGTTTCAAAAAGTAGTTTTCTCCTAGAACATAGATGTATCCAAGGTTTTAATTTTTGTAGGCCAATTCTTTTCATTGATGGGACATTTTTGAAGGGTAGATTTAGAGGTATTCTATTGTGTGCAACTTGCAAATCAAAGGCTTTTTTTTAGTTGCGTTTGCTATTACGGATACAGAGACTCTAAATAGTTGGGGTTGGTTTTTAGAATAGTTGTCCACACTCATTTTTCCAATTCGAAAAGTTATAGTTATATATGATAGGAATCTTGGAATATTGGATGTTGTGGCCACAATTTTTCTTCACTGTTACCATGCTTTTTGCTTACGTCGTTTGATGAACAATCTGATAGAAAAGTACACTAGATTAGTTTCTAAGAATATGTTTCATAAAGGCTTAGTGAGGAGGTTTTGTGATTGTGTATATGCGCCTACAGTGGATATGTATAGAGAGAAGTTAGAGATATTTGTACAGTATGGTGGAGACATTACTGCTAGATTTATTAGTAGTATTGGTTTTCAAAATTGGACTAATGCTTACTTTGAGGGATAGAGAAATAGTAAAATGTGTTCTATTACAGTTGAGTCATTCAATAATTGGATTTCAAAATTTCGCCATTTGCTTATTACAAATATGGTGGATGAGATAAGAAGACAAAGTAATGGATACAATGGCTATAAGGAGAAATTTGGCTGTAAAGTGGAATGGAGTAATTGTGAGAATGTGCTCTCCTTTTTCCTTATAGGATTAGAAATTAGAGTCCTATATCTATTAGACTTCTATATATCAGTGATGTATTCCTGTAGGATTAGGGTTTAGTGTTCTATATAAATGATGTATTCTTTGTTCAATCAATACATGTTGAATATACAATTCATTTAGAAATACTTACATGGTATTAGAGCTGAGTTCGAAACCCTAGCTTGCAGAGTCGAAACCCTAATAGTTAGTCATAGCCTCTCTGTTCAGTCACAACCCATCGGCTATAAATCACGATCAATCATCACGCCTGCTTCATTGTATCTCTCTCAGTCTTCGTCGGCTTCATCTCGGTTCATCATCGCGACTCCCTCTCGTGATTATCTGACTCTGGTTCTCTCTCTTTCTCTCTCTCTCTCTCTCTATGGCTTCACCTCGGTTCATCATCGCGAATCTTTTTCGCGACTCTGGTTCTCATCTCTCTATCTCAGTCTCTGTGATTTGTTATCAATACTATTAAAACCCTTATTCCTGTTTGGCCCATTTATTAAGTTATTAGTATACTTTGACCCATTAATCTTTAGTTTATTACAATGATGGATACCAAAATTCAAGCCATCAGATGTAAACTCACTAGTGCCAATTATGCTTATTGGGCTAGTGTCATGAAGAATTTCCTTCTTGGTCAGAAAAAATGGGGCTATGTTTCTGGTTCTGTTCCTCGTCTATTGGACCCGAAACAAGAAGGATATCTGACTTCCTGTGACACTTGGGATTGTGAAAATGCCCAAGTTTTGACTTGGTTTCATAATTCTGTGGATGACTGTATTGGAATGATGTTTTCCAAATACAGTAGTGCAAAAGAGGTGTGAGACTATTTATTGGGTGTGTATCAACAGTCCAACTTTGCCAAACGGTATGAGTTGGAAACAACAATTCACAGTGCTCGCCAGCGGGATCAATCAAGACTTCTACATTGAGATGATAGGTTTCTGGGATCAGTTGGGTCTCATGGAACCATTTAGTCTCAAGGCACTAGATGCCTATGTTGAGTTTCGCGAGCAAGGTCATTTAGTGCAGTTCTTAATGGCTCTCTCCCCTCAATATGAGGCTATCCGTGGTGGCATCCTTCATCAGTCTCCTCTCTCCTTTGTAGATGCTATTGTTTGTGAGCTTCTCTCCGAGGAAACCCGCTTTAAAATGGCCAGTCAGACTCTGTCTTCTTAAGTCTTCTTAGCACAACCACCTTTATTGGTGACTCTATCTGCTTCTTAACCTCAGTTTTCTGCCAAGCCCAAAAAGCAGCCCTTAGCATCAGATGAGTGTGCTTTCTGCCATCAAAAGGGTCATTGGAAGTACAACTGTCCCAAGAAGAGCCATCAGTCTGCTCAGCCGTCTCAGCCACAGTTCCGAGGTCCTGTTCCGAGTACTTTTCGCCCTCCTACTGCTTATACTGCATCTGCTCCGACTTCTGATCCTGACCTGGCTTCCTTAAGTGCTCAAGTCGCACAACTTCAGCATCTCCTATCCACCTCTCAGCCATCCCCATCTGCCTTCACTCTTACCTCTTCAAGTATCCCTTCTTTCTGTCTGGCTCTTTGATTCTGGTGCCTCTCATCATATGACTCCTCACATTTCCTTACTTTAAAACTGTATTCCCCTACCCGTTCCTATTACTATTAATACTGCTAATGGGTCTGGTATGTCTGTTCTGTCTATTGGATCTGTCTTACCCTCTACCATGTCTGCTGTTACTATTCCTTCTGTTCTTTATGTCCCTCGGTTATCTGTCAGTTTATTATCTATCAGTTAACTTGATACATCTGATTTTGATGTTTTCTTTTCCTCTTCTGTCTGTTGTGTGCAGGATCGGGTATCCAAGAAACAGATTGGGACTGCCGTAGAGTTGGAGATCTCTATGTGGTCGAAAGCTTGCATCTTCCCTTATCCACCTCTCCAGCTGCACTTTCCTTGTCTGGGGACCCTCTCCTGTTCTTACTTAAGGGGGTTCTACATACTATGTGTCTTTTATTGATGATTGCACGCGTTACACGTGGGTTTATCTTATGACTCATAAGTCTGACTTCTACCAGATATACCGTACTTTCCAGTCTATGGTTACTACACAGTTTAGGTCTACTATTAAATTGTTACGGTCTGACTTGGGTGGGGAATACTTTAAAACTGAATTCTGTGAATATTTGGCCAAATTGGGTACCATTCACCAAACTTCTTGTACAGATACACCTGCCCAAAATGGTCGAGTTGAGCGTAAACACCGTCATCTCTTTGAGACAACTAGATCTCTCATTTTCTCTGCCTCTATTCCGGCTCCATTTTGGGGTGAGGCAGTTCTTATTGCAGCTTTTCTTCTCAACCGTATGCCTACCCCCTTTTTTTCTGGTCGGTCTCCTTGTGAGGCTTTATTTTCTCAACTTCCTAATTACTCCATCCTTCATGTGTTTGGGTCTACTTGTTTTGTCCTTTTACTCCGTAAAGATAGGACCAAACTTAGTGCTCAGTCTGTCTTATGTGTCTTTTTAGGTTATTGTCTCACTCAGAAAGGTTATCGTTGTTATAACGCTGTTTCTCGTCGCCTTTATGTCTCCCGCCATGTTGTCTTTCTGGAACGTCTATCTTATTTTCAGCTTCCTCCTCTCACCGCCCCAGTTTCAAAAGAGGATTTGGTTCATATTGATCCATTTCCTTCTGAGGTCCCGTCTACTGAGTACATCTCCATAGTTCCTCTTGCACTTGTTCCATATTCTTCTCCTGCTTCACCTTTGACTGCTTTTCCTCCTTCGCCTTTTTTCCTCCTCCGTTGTCAGTTTATTCTCGTCACAAAGCTCTTCCTCCACCAGTTGTCTCTGGCTCTGCTACTGATCCTCCTACTTTTGACGACTCTGATCCTACTGTACACCGATATCCTCCTCGAGCGCGGCATCCTCCAAATAGGTTGGGTTCCTTTGCTTGCTGATAAGAATCTGGTTGGTTACAAATGGGTCTACAAAGTCAAGACTCATTCTGATGGTTCTCTTGAGCGCTACAAAGCTCATTTGGTGGCCAAAGGTTTCTCCCAGGAGTATGGTATTGATTATGATGAGACATTTGCTCCTGTTGCCAAGATGACTACTATGCATACTTTGATCTCTGTCGTTGCTATTCGTTCTTGGCCTCTTTATTAGATGGATGTTAAGAATGCTTTTCTTAATAGCCATCTCACTGAGGAGGTTTACATGCGTCCTCCTCTTGGTCTTCACCATTCCTCTAGTCAGGTTTATCGTCTTCGGCGTGCTCTATATGGTCTAAAGCAGTCTCCTCGTGCTTAGTATGATTGCTTTCAGACTGCTGTTACCGAGCTTGGGTTTCATCCTTCCCCTTCCGACTCTGCTTTATTTCTAAGACATACCTTAGCTGGTTTTGTTGTTCTCTTACTATATGTGGATGATATGATCATCATTGGCTCTGACTTTTCTGTTATCTCTGAGGTCAAACAACATCTCTTTCGTACCTTTGAAATGAAGAATCTGGGACCATTGCGGTATTTTTTTGGTATTGAGGTGGCTTCTTCTCCCAAGGGTTACTTTCTGTCCCAAGCTAAGTATGCCAATGAGGTTATCCATCGTGCTGGACTTACTGACACTAAGCTTTCTGATACCCCCATTGAGCTTAATGTAAAACTCAACACTACTGATGGTGTTCCCTTAGACGATCCTACGTTATATCGTAAGCTTGTGGGTTGCTTAGTCTATCTAACAGTTACTCGCCCTGATCTTGCCTTTGTTGTCCATGTGGTTAGTCAGTTTGTTTCTGCTCGTCGCTCTACATATTCGGCTGCTTTGCTTCGGATTCTTCGCTGTCTTCGCAGTACTATCTTCCAAGGCTTGCTATTCTTTTCTACTTCTTCCTTAGACTTGGTGGCTTATGCTGATGCTGATTGGGCTGGTGATGTTAATGATCGTAAATCTACTTCTGGTTTTTGTATGTTTCTTGGCGATTCCCTGATTTCTTGGAAAAGCAAGAAACAAATTGTTGTTGCCCGTTCTACTGCCAAAGCTGAGTATCATGTTATGGCTCATGCTACTGTTGAAATTGTCTGGCTTCGTGGTCTCTTATCTGACTTGGGCGTCCCTCAGCCTTCCCCAACCTCTCTCTATTGTGACAACCGAAGTGCCATTCAAATTGCTCATAACACTGTCTTCCATGAACGGACCAAGCATATTGAGATTGATTGTCATTTCGTCCATCAGCATCTGCAATTTGGCTTTATCTCACTTCCTTCTGTCTCTTCAGCTCTGCAACTTGCTGACTTCTTCACCAAGACTCACACCACTGCTCGGTTTCGGTTTTTTCTTGACAAACTCTTAGTGTTTTCTGCTAAAACACCTTGAGTTTGAGCGGGGGTGTGAGAATGTGTTCTCATTTTTCCTTATAAGATTAGGAATTAGAGTCCTATATCTATTAGACTTCTATATATCAGTGATATATTCATGTAGGATTAGGATTTAGTGTTCTATATAAATGATGTATTCTTTGTTCAATCAATACATGTTGAATATACAATTCATTCAGAAATACTTACAATAATATGTACAATTATGGATAAAAAGTAGCAAGATTTGATTGTAGATGGGAGGACACATAATCTTTCCATGTGCAATGTGATGTTTACAAGGTTCTTTGTGATCCTTTTATTGTCGTTAACTTGGAGATGAGGACACGTTCTTGTTTTAAGTGGCAGACTGCTTTGGTTATTAGTTGAACATGTAGAAATTTGAGAAGTTATGTTGATCAATATTACTTTGTTTCTAGCTACCAGGATTGTTATTGTGAAACTATTTATCCTGTTCCAATTGTTGGCAAACTTGGTTTTTCTAAACAGAATACAATAACCTCCATCAGTGAATTAGTGATGGTAATGAGATGCAGTAGCTGTGGGAAGAAAGGACATCACAACAAGAATACCTCTAAAGAAGTTCTTGAGTAAAATGATTACTGATGTAAGGAAGCTCTGGAGTGAAATGATATTCTTACTTGGTGAATATATATATATATATATTTTATTTTTTAAATGAGCTATGTGAGTTGTATGCGGGCATTGTGTTTGTGTTCAAATAATATACTTTTTCTGTTTGAATTTGTTCATTTGGAATGGGTTGGAATCAGTTATATGTGAATTGTCTATTTGTCCATAAAATTGATGGTTGATTTTACCTATATGTTGAAATAAGACAATTGTTGTGTGTTTATGTGTCAAAATATGCTCCTTTGAGGTGATCTATCAGTTGAAATAAATCATGTGGTATATTGTTTTGTATGTGGATATGGTATTTGTATGTATTCTTATCTGTTAATCTGAAATGGGATATTTGTTGAAATCAATTATATGTGGGTAATGTCTACTTGTTCAAAATACTGATGGTTCATTATAACTGTTTGATTTGCATAGATAATAGCTTTAAATATTTGATATGTGCAAAAGTATATGATATTTCTAATATGTGCAAAAGTATGTGATATTTGCAAAAGTATAATCTGATTTGCAGAGATAACACTTTTAAAGATGTAACTCAACATTCCATTCTAGGATATAAAAATCACAATCTCAAAATTATTTCAAAAAAGATGTCATTTTGTTAGAAATGTGAGTCTGATAAGGAAAAAGGTTTCAACAAATAGATGCATTTTGGAAATCCAATTAGTGGATAATACATTGCAAACATGTAACTTAATAAATTAGCACAAATGAAAATATTTTGAAGAGATATGTATGATGCACTGCTGGAAAAATGACTTTTAGCGGCGTTTTAAAAACACCGCTATATGTCTGAAAAACGCCGTTAATTCCTTTAGCGACACTTACTATCAAACGCCGAGGATGCGGCCGTCGCTGTAAGTTTATGACGCTTTAAAAGCGTTGTAAAATTAATATAGGCGGCATTTTTATAAACGCCGCTAAATGTGGCAGTCAACGGTAACACGTCACATAGGCATTTAGCGACGCTTCAAAAACGTCCTAATAGTTTTTTTGTTATTTTTAAAATATAACTATAGTGGCGTTTTGAAAAACGCCGCAATAGATTTTTTTTTTTTTTTTGAACTACTAATTTTGTGAGATTTTAACTTCAAAAATATACCTGTAAAATAGCAATAATAAATAAAACTTCGTATAGACATATATTTATGTGAGATTACTATTCCCTCACATCTATAATAGTACCCCATAGAACATCCTTCAAGAAAAAAATCCAATAAGTTCAATCCCAAAAAATAAAATGAGAATAATTTAAAGATAAAAGTGAAATTAGCAGTTGAATAATAAAAAGTAATAGTGCCTAAGGCCATAGGGTTGCGAAGAAGTTATAATGATTTCCACTACTCAAATCAATACCATAAATTAGGACAGATAACATTTGTCATTGGGTCAGACTACTACCTTAAAAGTTGTGTTTAGCCAAGAAATAATTATGCCTTCATATTCATTGGGTCTGACACAAAGCATCAAGCATTCATGTCCAGATTTTCTAATCAATGTCTCCAAATTTCCAGAGTTGAACAGAGTGTTAATAATACACATCAAATATTACCCTTCCTACATAAAGCAAAAACCACCATATTGCTAGAAATTTACTTTTTCACCCCAAGTCACGCACCTATACCACCGCTTCTGAAGCATTTGGAATCTCTGCCATAATCATGTGCGTATTTGAAAGACCAGCATCATCACCTTTTGTACAGGTTTCCAACTTCAATTTTCTGCACTTCAACCTTGAGATACTTGAGGCACCTGACAGCTTCATCGAAAGTATTTAAGAACCAAAAAAAGAACATGGAAACTCAAACATGGCAAAGCAAAGACAAAAATATCAATGAAATACTTGGTCACACAGTATACTTGTCTGAGGGCCAAATACTGATTTGCTGAAACCATGGCCCCTGCATGCATCATCAATGTGTAGAAAAATATAAGCTCACAAATGCTGATTACGAAAGAAAAAAATAAATAAAAGAGAAAGAGACAAAACTGAATTGCAGAATTTAGTAAAAAGACACCACACAACAGAGTTTTTGCATGCATTTGGTCCATGGGAGGCAAGAATTTCTATAACCAAATTGAAAAATGTTTCTGTTTAGTGAAACCATTTTCAAGAGCCTTCTATTGGTGAAGGCTTATGTAAACTATTAAGAGACAACTTAAGCTTCTAAAGAGAAATTATGGTGAATTGACCATCTGAAGAGACAACAAGGTGCTTCACTGGGAAAGCGTTGCTTCCACAAACATAAAAAATACAATGTTAATTGTTTAATACATTTGATCTTTATAAAAAGCAACATAAACATGTCCTTAAACCAAAATAATAACATGTATGTGCTCATCTTAACAACCTGCCCACGAACAAAATAAGACCAACTTGTGCAACCGCAGATCTCTTGAGAAAAAGACAAAAATCAAGTATTTAGTCCACTAAATCAGCCAACTTAATCAATCAAACCAGAAATGATGACGAAGATACATCCACCCATGACACAACTTAACAACTTCAAGAACATATTCAATCAAATCGCAAAATGATGTTTATTTTTCCATTGACCTCAAATACTCTGCATATTAAAACATACGAAGTAAGAAATTACCAAATGTTCTAAAGTATGAACACAAATAGAGCACATATACAGATTCTTTTATTGTTACCGCAGCAAAGATTCAAGCTTAATTCTACAGGTTTCCAACTCCAATTTTCTGCACTTCAACCTTGAGAGACTTGAGGTACCTGACAGCTTCATCGAAAGTATTTAAGAACCAAAAAAAGAACATGGAAACTCAAACATGGCAAAGCAAAGACAAAAATATCAATGAAATACTTGGTCACACAGTATACTTGTCTGAGGGCCAAATACTGATTTGCTGAAACCATGGCCCCTGCATGCATCATCAATGTGTAGAAAAATATAAGCTCACAAATGCTGATTACGAAAGAAAAAAATAAATAAAAGAGAAAGAGACAAAACCGAATTGCAGAATTTAGTAAAAAGACACCACACAACAGAGTTTTTGCATACATTTGGTCCATGGGAGGCAAGGATTTCTATAACCAAATTGAAAAATGTTTCTGTTTAGTGGAACCATTTTCAAGAGCCTTCTATTGGTGAAGGCTTATGTAAACTATTAAGAGACAGCTTAAGCTTCTAAAGAGAAATTATGGTGAATTGAGCATCTGAAGAGACAACAAGGTGCTTCACTGGGAAAGCGTTGCTTCCACAAAAATAAAAAAAAATATGTTAATTGTTTAATACATTTGATCTTTATAAAAAGCAACATAAACATGTCCTTAAACCAAAATAATAACATGTATGTGCTCATCTTAACAACCTGCCCACGAACAAAATAAGACCAACTTGTGCAACCGCAGATCTCTTGAGAAAAAGACAAGAATCAAGTATTTAGTCCACTAAATCAGCCAAATTAATCAATCAAACCAGAAATGATGACGAAGATACATCCACCCATGACACAACTTAACAACTTCAAGAACATATTCAATCAAATTGCGAAATGATGTTTATTTTCCATTGACCTCAAATACTCTGCATATTAAAACATACGAAGTAAGAAATTACCAAATGTTCTAAAGTATGAACACAAATAGAGCACATATACAGATTCTTTTGGCCCATCAAGTAACTTCATCATTTAGTTGTCAAGCCTTTCTGAAAATCAACAATAAAATTCTGCTCTCAAAGAGTTTATCGTGCAAAGCATATTAAGCAAAAAATAATAATTTAATTTTTTCCTCAATTCTGAAACTAGTTTACTCAAATTGCATTCAATATGCCAGTATCACTTGTGTTCAACTTAAAATCTCAACAACCTGTAGCAGTACTACATTTCATCGTACTAGAAGGTGAGGCACACACTGTGTGCCAAATTAACAAAATAATTTTGTACATCTAACCAATCAAAAGCTATGACCAGACCTTAGAAACTAAAGACTCCAGACATCACTAACATAACTCATTTGAATGTTCCGCTTATACACTGGAACAACACCTCCTTGGGAAAATAACATTTAAATGAACTTTAGAGATCGATGTGAAAACCGGGACATCCTAGCTAGACAGAGCATAAAACAATACAACAAAATAAGATTGAGGAACAACAAATCTGTATTGATGCAACATGTGCTTCACATGTGCTTCTTAGCTTATGATAAAATTTCTGGGTGCTAGCAGAAGAACAGCACAACTATCAAATGACATATTAAGAATAAAGCCATTAGATCAATTGAGGGACTATGAGGAATAGAACACGCATTTAGAAGTATGGGATGCAACATACGATAACAGCTGGTAAATAGAGCTAGGCCTGGGACTAAATGCAATGGCAGTAACAGCTCCTATATGTCCACGCAAAACTGAAATAGGAAATCCATCTGGCAAGCGCCACTGTAATACACAAGAAAAAACTATTAGGTCACCAAGGGATAAATAGTATGACGGATTTATATTTTAAGTGTAAACTGGAAAGAACCCTTACAACTTGAATGCTGTAGTCATTTGAAGCAGATGCCACCAAAGCATTGTTTGAACTTACAGCCAAGTCAGTAATGTCACCCTTTCAGTAAAATTAAGAAGAGTAGACAAGTAACACAAGGAATGAAAATGGAGTTCCATCCAAACAAACTGAATATGGCAATATATAAACTATTAATGTTGTGCTCTAAAAGCCAATATCTGAGATGTGGTTGGGACAATTTCGTAAAACAGTCCTATTTAACTAATTATAAAAGAGCAAATTTTATTAACATGTCTACTTTGTGTGTGTGCATGTGTTTTTTTGTTTTTTTTTTTTGATCGGTAAAAGTCAAAAGGTATGGTGGGATAGATAGATAAACATTAATTTGTTTCTCAGTACACATACTGATTAGCAGAAGAATAGGGAGCAACAAACAGCAAAAATTTTAAATAATAATAATACTAAAATTGTTA